CGATATAAAGCTGAGGAAATGGATTTCCTCAAGCTTTTTTAAATCAATTTAATTTCACGTTAAATATCTTATTTGTTTTCTTATCTTTCACGTAACAATTACTTTTAAAAGAAAAATAAGCGCAATAATACAGATAAAAAAGGCCACACGCACCCATTTTTCTATAGGATGACTGGAATAACGTTCATACTATGATTGGTTAGTCTCGTTTTCGTGCGAGAAACAAACGAGAAGTCGGGTGTTGTCAGCCAACGGAGACAAGAAGACGACTCTTCAGGTAATTAATTTGTTTTAAAAATCGAAAAGTCATTATATTTTATAGGATAACACGTTAACGATTCGCGTATCGAATGGTATCAATATAGTTTGGCTGTAGACTACAAGTGTTGAGAAATCGATCGTGAGAAATTCTCTGTCAAAACAATTAATTTACCAGTGTAATATTCATCCCTGATACTTTATAGATTAAGTCAGTGTTTCCTGTGCTTTTCCTTTAAGCTTGCTGGACATTATCCAGGAATATTGTTTGTGACACTTCTGAAGGTCAGTTCTAAAACACCGATTAAAAACGCAAATATTTAAATGATAAAATCAATTAATTCGTATAGAAAAACGATCTAAATATTACCTTATTTAATTTGATAAAGTGTAAAGACTATAATTTTAAAAAATTTGCCGCATAAACTTGTATAAGCGGTCCTTAAGGATGGAGTTATAACGAATTATAATTAACTCAAATTTTAATGTGTCTAAGTAAATAGATTTAAATCACGGTTAAAAGTGTGACAGCTGCAAAATATATACAAATACTTATTTTTAAAAAATAATTAAAAATACTACAAACGTCGTAAAATATAAGTCAACTCTATATCAAAAGGAAATGTATAGGCTTTTGATGGATTATTCTAAAGGAGGTCAAGTTATTTTTAGAATTAAAAAGGTCTAAATTATTTTTATTAAATTAATATTTATATGCAAGCAAATTTTAAAAATTTCCCCGTCATTTATTAATTTAACAATTTAACATTAAGCAGCTAAAATAAGTTACTGCTATTAATACTCGCATGAATGTTTATCCATCATTAATAAGATGGACGGTTTGAGTAGTGCATTAATTATTAAATCTTCCTTATGAATATATATTAAAATATTATAATTATTAATTCATAATTATAAGTTTTAAAACTGATGTTAAATTAAAGCAGTGTAGATGCTGAGAAGGGAACTGTTAATGTTAAAATTAATAGCGATCTGACACGAGAAGATATGAATTGGAGTGAATATCGAGTGATTTAAAAATTTTTAAAGATTAATTAAATTATTTTTTCTTGACTTTTAACAAGAGTAATGTAAGCAGAAGCTCAAATTACTCTTATTAAATTAATTATCAAGTAAATAAGCTAGAACAGCGATTCCCAACCTGCGGTACGCGTACCCATAGGGGTACGCGATAGGTTGTTTAGGGGTACAGAAAAAAGTTAGTTATTATGGCAGAAAAAATAATATATTATGTATCACAAATTAATAGTATTAAAAAATTATTAGGTAAAAATGTTCCTTGCAACAATCACAACTTTATTATGCATTTTTTCATTTAGTTTTTTTTGCTTTGATTTAAAGTTACAATATGTAAAATTAACAATACGGGTACTCACTAAATTTCTTAAATGAGGGGTACAATCTAGAGATATGACATGTCACGGGGTACGCTAATGAAAAAAGGTTGGGAACCACTGAGCTAGAAGATAAAAAAATAAGAATACTGCAAATTTAATTTTTAAAATATTACATAAAATGTAAGTCAGCATAGTATAAAATTTAAAGAAAAATGTGATAAATTATCTAAAATTAAATATATATGTGTGTGTGGTAACCAAGCTGGAAGGCCCCACTTTTGGCTTGGTAGAACTTATGATAAGCATGAAAAAAAGGCCTTTTTAGTGCCCAGAAATATTTTATGTTTTGGTTTTTTATTTAAGAAAATCATAATTTTTTATTTAAACAAGTGATCCATAACATCTGCCAAATCACTTGACCCCTTCGTAAGTACATTACTGTTCTCGAACGAGATTCTCCTTTCAACATATTAAGCTCAATATTTGTTAATAAGTTACGAATAAACTACAAAGAACTCTGTAATTGTTAATTAGCAGCGAAGGTCTAAATATTTATGTAAACGTTTTTCTGGTTTATTGCTTTAAACGGTCAATATTAAGATTTTCTCCGTTATGAAAATCTAAATACGAATAAATATCTATTTGTTTTTCAGATTTTAGATCAATATAATTATATTGTGTGTTTTCGTAGCTTAAATAAAAAGTAAACGAATCACGAAGTTAGGGGATTCGTTCTAAACTATTAATTGCTGTATCGTAAGTATTTAATTAAGAATCGACTTGAATAATAGAAATTTTGCCGGAATATTTTACCGAAAGTTTAATATTTCTATAAGATGTATTTTTTTTGAATTGATAATCAATTTCTGTCATATCTATCCCTTATCGATCGTTAAGTATATATATATTGTCTATCAATACAAAATTAATATAATTTCCAGTGATTTCCAGGCCTCCTATTTATAAGTTTTTTTCAATTTTCTACAGAAAATTTCGGCTATTTATATTGAAATATTTGGATCGAAGACTTTGTAAACTATGTTTCCATATCATTTACATTCATTTTGATTTTATTTTTTATAACCTACCTTTCATAATTTTATATTTTCATTAGCTATGTTATACGAATGTATTTTTATCACTCGTCGGTATCGCAATATATAGGCCTAGTAAACTTTATTACTTTCCCGGCTGTTGTGTACTATATAACAGAGGGAAAGTATGGCGATCGGTCAAAATATGACCCACCCCTAATATTTTTAAATTTTCGGACTCAGAGGACCTTGAAACGTCATAAATGCGAAAAATTTGGGAGTTTTTTCTGTATGTAATGGATGTTAGTGTGTAGGGGAGCACGATTTTACGCAACTCGTCGCTGGATTTTTTTAATGTAATTTTATGGCAAATATCGAGAAAAAACATAATTTCGATTTATTTGAATTCATTCTTTCAAATCAGTTCTTATTGAAAATAATTTTATTATATTTGCCAATTAAATCAAATCTTAAACATTTATCTGCAGGGGTTCCAAAAAAAATGACAAAAATCTCTGACTTACAATAGACCCAGTCAAAAAAGACCATCCAATTTTCCATTGTATGATGATTCTCATGTATATATCCAATCTTTAATAATACAATTTTATTAGAAATGACTTTCTATGTGATAAATCAACGTATATAAATTTCAGTGGCGCGTTATAGTTTCATGGTGCCCAGGCGAATTTGAATTGGGGAGACTTATGTACAGTACAGTGAATACATTAACTTCAGACATTTTTCTTTGGAGAATATTTTGGGGAAATATTTTCTTATAAAAGATTGGTTTGGACTCTCCTGTTCGTGGGGCCCCATTCAATTTCTTTTTGCTCAAAGCATAAGTGCCACTGATGAATTTGTTTTCAAAACGTAGTCTATTATAAAAGAATCATTTAACAGAATTATAATTCCGAATTACGATCTCTGAATGATTAATATGATTTCTGAGTCGTTTAATTTTAATCTAATTTGAATTTTGAAAAAGAATTATAAATGAAGTATTGTTATATTACAGAATTATAATAATTTTCTGGTAATAACATCCAAGTATTTTGTAATCATCAAAGAGAATTAACTAATGATTACGACTTAATATCAATTCTGATCATTATCGTGGTATCAAAACTCATTTATTCAGATCCAATTTATATCAGTTAGGCTGTTTTATGTTATTTAGCTAGCTAATTAGTCACACATGACAATATACGTTGTACAGATGTAACGATTACTTTTCACTCTCATAAAAAAGACCAGAAATTTGAAAGGGAAATGACATTATTTTATTTGAAGCAAAATATTTATTCACTTTTTAAATGCTAATTCATTAAATAATACAAAAAAAATGGATAACTATTAGTGGATTAATGTCTTTTTTTCAACTACAAGTGTACTTCTGAAAACTGTAGAGTGGTCCGCAAGTGCTCCTGCTCTAACTACAGGCATACCTCGACTTACGTCGGTTTCGAGTTACGTCGTTCCCGATTATACGTCGCTTGTTAAAAAAGTATATGGAAAAATAAAAATCAAGTTTAAGTCATTTTATTCGACTTTACGTCTGTCCGCCACAAATATTGAAGTCGTAATATCACTAGATAAACGTTTAAAGCACATAAAATCATNTGCTAATTCATTAAATAATACAAAAAAAATGGATAACTATTAGTGGATTAATGTCTTTTTTTCAACTACAAGTGTACTTCTGAAAACTGTAGAGTGGTCCGCAAGTGCTCCTGCTCTAACTATAATCTTAATTAAGAAGAGTTGTCTATTTTCATAATTAAATGAACACGCAAATAAAATTGAATTTTGTAATGATTATTTTAAAATCTATAAATCTCTAAATATATTCACAGATTATAAATTAATCTGTGAATATAAGTTTATTAAGAGAAAATCTCATTTTTTATAGATAATTTTTTTCTTTAATAATTATCATCTAAATTCCATAATTAAATATCAATTTTTAGCAAAATTTTTAGAATAAAGATTAAAAGATATGTTACATCATAGATTCATCATAATCCGTTATATAAAGCGCTTATGATATATTATTACGTTGCTATCTTCAACCAGTAAATAAACAAAGATTAATTCAAGTAAATTAATTAATATTGTCATTAATTAAATGTATTTAACCTATTATATCACGGTTTATTTTCTTATCAGTGATTACATGAATTTATTACCGAAGGTTTCATAATTAAATGTAAAGCATTATTATTAAAAATATAATTTCATCTTTCTAAAAAAATAAAATATTTATATATTTAATTATTTTTATTCGGATTTTTTAAACTGAAAATTTAAAAAATTAATTGAGTATTAACGATGTTAAATTCTATTTTAGGTTTTCTGATTGATGTTTGGATGAACGTTCCTGGTAAGTTTACATCGAAATGGGTAATTTCGGATCCCGTTCCAGATTCGAAAGTATGTTTGACATTTGTTTCAAAAAATTATGCTTTATTATATTATAATTTATCATTTTTATTATTTTGTCTATACAGAAATTGTACCAGATTAAAAATAAACACAGCGCATTGATTTATTTAAAGATATATTTACTTTTATTTTTTTTATTATTTTCTTCAACCCTTCTCTATAATTTCTATCATATTACATTTTTAATATTAAATACGTTATCAATTGTAAGATACCAACAGTAATTTTGTCATAGAAGTAACTATTATAACGTCACATTGCATAAAGGAAACACCCATCCTATAACGCAGTAATGTCATTTACAGAATTTTAATCGCAATTATGGCATTTTTTTATCTGAACTATCCGACTTACCAATATGAACTATTAGCTTTGTATAAGCTCTAATGGTTTTCATCCCCTCTTATTGATTGTAGGGCGTAAAAAAAACTAATAAATAATAATTTTTCTCAGACGGCCTCATTACTAATGGGACTAAAGCATTAACTTGTCTCTATGAGTTTGCATCTTACAAACGGGGTGGTCGCGTAAAGTTTTCCGAATTTTTTCACGTACCTAAGACTTAAATAGGGGACAACTTCCCACAGAGCCCTCCCTCTTAGCAGAGATTTCTGATACATTGCTTTGCCTTATCCCGTCAAATTAATCAAAATAAAAATACAATTAATTTCAAAAGTTTACATTAAAACAGAATTTTTATTCAAAATTTTCAAAAACATGTAAACTATTTTGTATCGATCTGCGAGAAAATTTATTTTTAAAGAGCTTTTTTCCCTATTGTCACTAAAACATCAATGATGAATGGAATAAGTGTTGTTGAAGGACGAGGCGCGACATATCCGGATCGAATAAATCCAAATTTACATACAATTGCTTGTTGCATAATAACACGATCCATATCTTATTGTTATGCAACTAAACATGATATATATCTCGAATTATAATTCGTTTATATTTGCATAAAGAAACACGAACTGTCACTTCAAAATCAGGTTAAATGAAGCAAAATTTCAAATATTTTTCATTTTAGAAACTGAGATAAGCTTTCATTTATTCTTTCATTTGTATTCGTTAAATACAGCCTAATGTTTGACATAAATCAGGCATACAGACGTTTGTTATTTGATTCTCTTTGATATTGACGTTTTCTATAAAGGAAAAGTAACAAAAATCTTTATCAACGACGAGGACAAACCACAAAACAAAAAAAGAACGAAAAGAAAAAAAGGAAAACGAACCGAAAATCGTGACAATACGAGGAATAGAAACGGAAAAAAACGAAAAGAAAACGAACGAATGACGATCGTAAATTATTTACTGTAATGTTTTGCACAATTTATTTTTCAATTACAGTACAATCTCGATAATCTGACATATATTGGATTGGAGATTGCCGGATTATTGGAAGTAAGATGAATTTGATGCCACACAAACGGATCCGAGAGCATACAGTGTAACCAAATTATAAGTTAAAAATACAGTATGCTATTTTTCAAATTATTATTTTTATATTTTATAAAGATTTTTTATTTTCTTATTCATTTGTAATTGTTAAGTATTAAAAACAAATTCTTAATCTGTTTTCAAATGTTCCATAGCACTACCACGAACAAGTTATCATTGTAAGAAATTAATAAAAATTCTATGATTCATAAAGTTTTAGAGGGTTTGCGCCTGACCAACAGGCTCCTGGGTTTTCTTCATATATCTTACACCTAAATCTAACACCTAAGGGCCTGTTTCCTGTAGAAAGTCTTCCTCTTATCCTCTTAGCATATCACCACGTGTTGCATTGCTGTATCCATTAAAAAACGAACCTAAATTTTCAACAAATTGCGAATTATTTTATAAAAATTTCATGAAATCCAAATCCCAAATTCTCAGCAAATTAAAGCGTGTTTGAGAATAGAAAATGGTATTCAGATTATTTATTTACATTTTTGATCTTGCTGAAATTTCAATTTTAATTTGTAAAAATTCTGCTCTCCAATGTATTCTTTTATTACTTTATATAAATTCTCTGCTGCATTTTTAGTTTACCTATTTCTTTTCTCAATTCGAATTTCCACCTTTTATGCGATGGAAGAATTTCTAAAATTGAATTGAATGCCAATCCTATAACCAAATAAAGAATCAAATTTCCTTATTGTGGAGTAGAAATTTAAAGCTTGCTACACCAGATAGATAAATTGAAATTATTAATGGTTTTTATTTATTGGTTAATTATTAAATACTGTATGTTTATTTGGCATTTAATCAGATTTGCAAAGAAGTGTAAAATAATGTTGATAATAAATTTTCTACAGTCAGATTTAACTTTTTTCCGAAATTTCGTTTGTCAATTGAAGCGGAACATCCACTGTATAAAAGAATCATTCCTCAATTTAAGTTTTTTTTTTTTTTATATATAAATCTAAGGCCCAGGGCTTAAGCCCTATTAGTACCTATGTAGATCCGCCGGTGGATATAATCCTGTCCGACACACACATGTATAGAATTTTGTAAGGAATTTTCTGCATTTTTGGACTCGTTGAATGTCAAAATCCAAAAAACCGGGTGGGTTCAAAATTTTTTCGTGTGTTATATTCTATAACAACCGGGTAAGTAAAAGTATCAAATAACAGTAACAATTTTTTTTATCTGCTGTAGAACATTAAAGTCATTTCATTACTCTCACGTATTGATTTTTGTCATCGCATCATCGAAAATTTTCAGCTCAGTCAGCAACGATCTAGAAGACAAACAAGTAAATTTAGATCATTAACAAATCTTGAAAACTGCATTAACTGTCTCCTGCTTAATTACATACTGTATTTAACAAAACGAAAACAACCTAATTCAAATTATTTTTAATATTAAATTTTGAAGAACTTTAGAAATTTTAAACTGATCTTTCTTCATTAAAAATTGAAAGACAAATTATAATCAATAAATATTAAATAAAATTAATTAATGAGTTTTTTCAATAAATTTTAAGTCTATTTTATATATAAAACATTGTAAATCAAATTAAGAAAAGTGTAAAGCCTGAACTCCACATTACCGGAATCCGCGACGTAATCGTAAAACTAAAAGCCAAATTGACGAAACTTTCAGTTTTTTAACGTTCAGATGGACAGAAACAAGACTGAAAACGGAGTTAAAAATTATTTAACTTTTCCAGTTTCGTTCCGCGCTTCTGTCGTACTGCAACCAATAAAAACGCAAGGATTTGTGACGCCTAGTCACGTGCATTAGTCTTGTAGTTTGATTGTTGTAATGGCGGAAAATGTAGCGAAAACGATGAGGAGACAAATAGATTTAGAATTCTTCATCGAAGAAGTTAGAAAATACAGATGTCTGTACGACAAAAAATGTAAATAATTCAAAGATTATTTACAATATCATTGTTAATAGATGCAGAGAAAGCATGGCAAAATCCGTAGCGTCGTCCGTGTTTGACTACGACAATTACAGAACTGACCAACAGATGGCGCATTTCTAGTGTAGTCAAGTTAAAACGAAAACTATATGTTTCAGTTCTGTTTCTGAGATTCTGTTTTCAGGTAATGTGGAGTCCAGGCTTAAGACTTACAGGAAACGGTGTTGTTGTTCGGGTATACCATAAAATATAAATTTATTTCTTTAATAATTTATTAAATTAAATTAATAAATTAACAGAATAGAATATATCGAAAATATTTGTCGGAGAATTAAAAATGCAAAATTTTCAGTCATGGACATCATCACTGGAACTTTGGTGAAAAAAGATGCCTCGCAAGTTCAGGCAAGTGATGTGTTAGGAGATGCAGAGATAATAGGCTTATATTTTTCGGCACATTGGTGTCCTCCCTGTCGAGCTTTTACTCCAATCCTCGCTGCTGCTTATGCAGAAATGAAAAAAATGAATTATAAAATCGAAATCGTTTTCGTATCGTGTGATGAGGACGAGAAATCTTTCTATGAATACATGAACGAATGTCATGGTGATTGGTACGCTCTCCCCTATGATTCAGAAATAATCACGTAAGTAAATTTGTTTATATTATTTATAAAAGCAGAAAAATCAAAAACGTTATTATTTATTAATTAGAAAATTGGAAGAAACGTTTAACATCGAAGGTATTCCAACTTTGATTATTCTTAAGAAGGATGGAACTTTGGTGACTAGAAATGGCGATTGCGATGTTGAATCCTCAGGACAGGAAGCTTATACAAAATGGATTAAGTAGTTTTCATTAATTTTATACAAAAGTATTGTTAATTGAACTTAATATTAACTCATAAAATGTTATATTTTCATTTATATAATTTTTTAAAATGTTAAATTGTGTTAATAATGTAAAGAAGGGTGTTAAATAAATAAAAAGATTTAAATGTATTGAAAACAGATTTTTAAAATCGCGATTTTAGAAGCACAAAATCATATCGGGATAATCTATATAACAAAACTACATTGTCCTACTGACTCAGTTATTCACTTGAAATGTTTGAGTATGAGAAGACTTCCTTCTTACAGTAAAATGAGATAGTGCATTGGAACGTATTACCGGAAAAAATCTAAAATCTCAAAAAGTCAAATATTTTGAGCCCTATGGAAACGGTAGGTTGGCTGAAAAGGTTAAGGTAACCTACCCTTATAGGGGATCCGAGTCCAGGGGCGCCCATACTGTACTGTACTGTACTTTGGGACACGTGCCTTCCCTTTGTAGTCGGTTGCCCTTTTCTTAATCCTCAAGAAAGCTTTAAGATTTCACTTTATTTTTAAATTAATTACTCATTTTTATTACAGAAAACCTTTTACTGATGACAAAATTAAAATAAAAATATTTGTTATTAACCGAAAATTTATTCTAGCGGGTCGTGATTGTTCGGTCAATTTCCGAAGTATCACTATTTGATCAACGAGATTTTGATATACGTGGTAGCATCGAGAGGTTAATTAACTGTGTTAATCGAGGGATACTTATAAATATATATATATATATATGCACGATGCCCTTTTTTATAGCTCGTGTGCCCTTTTTAAGGGTAGTCGCCACTGTACTAGCCCCCGAGAAATTCTTACAAGAACTTTAACTTATTATATTTTGCAGAATGTCATAATAATATAATATACAAGACATTTCATGTACGATGTTTTAAGTCAATAATTCGGAAAATATGCTTTTAATTGAAAAAAGATTGATAATAATAAAAGTTGAATATTCCCGAGGAGCCTTTTTAATGCCGTAAAAATACAGCTTCGTCAATCTCCCTTCTGAGTGGGCAGGGGAAACTTCGAAATTTCAAATCGAACCCCTAACTTTTTATATTTTTGGATTCTGTATTAAAAATAATAGTCTAAGAAATATTGTAAAAGTTACATAAAATTGACAATTAACGAATATTATATTAATTAAAACAATTTATTTATATATTAAAATTTTATCTCAAATTATACCATTAAACATTTTTTCCAGATTGTTGTTGCAATTCGTTTATTTATGTTAGACTTCCTAATAAAGGTCATCACCATATTCTGGAGTTGTCACCACGCCCTGTTAGATATTACCTAATTGTGAAAATGAATCGATAGAAATCTTTAAAAATTTATAAAAAGACACACCCAATAGCGAGACAGAGTTTTAAAAAGAAATTATTTTGCAGTGTTTCGATTATTTAGAATATATTACTTATCAAAAATTTTAAAAGATATTTCGAATATTTCTCTGGAAAGTTATTAAAAATATAAAAAATATAATAGCTAAAAGGAGACAAAACATTCATCTATAAAGAAAAAAATATTTTATAAATGCAATGATCAATCATTTTGTCAAACAGTTTGTCACGCAACATCCGTTATTTACTTATTTCATTCGGTCAATATGTGATTCTTCAGTGCAAGCAAGTTTGAAGAAAATAATTGTTTTTTATTCATATAATATTAAAGGTAATTTTAATTCAAATATTTGCAAGTATTTATCTAGATTTACCAAAGGTTGGTCTTCATCTTTCTTTCTTTTAAGTTATATACTTAGTTTATTTTCTTTTATTTTCATAACAGAGACAACATAAAATTCGTATTTTACTGTTAATTTTACTATGATTTACTGTACTGTACTGTAACTATAAAATTCCTGTACCTGCAGTAAAAGTTTATAATAATTACAATCTTCTAATGACTATAAAATTTTATTAAATAATTTTTTATATTTATTTTTCATGGGTAATTTATATATAATATATACAAAGTTCGCGCACGATGTATTTTACATTATATTTACTGGACATTATAATTATAAACTCAACGTTAGATGGCGTTTGCGCTTCCCGTTGTTGTAAAAATAGAACAAACATGGACGCCATTTAAACTCTCGCTTTCTTTTCTGCTAGAGATATCGAAGATTAAGTCGTTGCATTAACAATTAAATAATTAACAGGCGATAAATAAAAGCATGATTGCAAACACACGTATGAAAGCAAAAACAATATGGCCGACAAACACCAAGCAAGTTCTTATGTGGGCGTGCTTAACGATGACGATATATTATAAACTTCTAACATGAAACTTTTCTTAAGTTTATACTGGTACGTTATGCATAAAGTTGTAACGAACTTTTTTATATCTTAAGATACGTCGTGCGCAAACTATATTATTTATATATACATATACAGTATAATAATTCTACATAATTTAGATATTTTCATTCTCTTCAAAAACTAAATTATTTTACTTTAGGGGAAAAAAGTTGTCATGAACCAGGCTCGATCTAAGATTCTCTCCTAATCAGTGTCAGGCAATGACGAATTGTTTATTTTTCAGTACATACTTTTGTAAATTTATCAAACATTCGTTACAAATTACAGTTTTAAAAACTTTTCTAAATTTAATTTTGCATTCGCATTTTGCACGATTGCATTTTGCTATCGTGATGGTCATGGATGTATGTTTAGTACAGTATGTGCTATACATACATCCATATAGGACAGAGGAGTATATTCTTCCTAACATTTTTGTACTCGAAAATTGTCCATTTTCCCAATGTAATTTTTTATCATACTATAAAAATTCAGCAACGAGTTGCGTTTTCGGTAACATTTAAAAAAATGCGTATAGGGTTTTCATATGTGTTATGATATTTTATTTTAATATGCTGAAAAAATCAAATCAATATGTAAGATTGCTGAAATAAAAATTATTTAAAATTGTACGAAATGCAGTTTATAAACTACTTCACCTCATAAATTCTCGAATTAGACCCAATGACCGAGACGGTTAAGACTCCAGCTACAGTTCTGGGGTCAAATCCGAACGGGTCGAAAAACCCCATTCCCATCCGGCAATGAGATCCTTAAGGATTTAAGATCTGATTGCCGGATGTCCTAATGATCTGCAATCTACTAAACTTTTCTTTCTAGTTGCCAAATAAGCCTATCTGATTTTGTTTTAATTTTAAAAGTAGATTTAAATTATATATTGCCTATTTATTAAAAATTCATAAACATTTCCAAAGTTCATAAATAACAAAATTGTGAAATTATTCGAAATATATTTGTCGTTAAACAATTTATCACGCCAAAGTGTATTTCGAAATCCCCAAAAATTGAAAAACTGACAACTTGACGAAATCCTTTATTTTGAACGAGAGAAAATGCATACCAACCACAAGACGCTCTCACTGTATGTGTTCCAAGGGTAAGAGCACTCTTGGGCGAGCTGACACAATACCACCTGCATTATAATTTATGGACGAGCACAGACTAAGGCGAGCGAATGGACATTCGTAGCTTTTATTGCAGACGAATTTTTACCTCTTCTGTTCTGTTCGTCCGCCCGATTTACGCTTATCCCAATACACCATTGTAGCCTGCTGCGATGGCTAGCAAACATTGGAATATGTGACGTCATATTCCCCTTGCACTTGAAACATGAGTCTCCACGCAGATATAAGTTGGCTATCATGATCACGTGATCTTTTGTTCCGTCATCACCAACCGAAACCGAAACCATCACTTTACAAAAATGCTATAAATAAAGACTCAACTCTGACAACCTGGATGAAATAAAAACCAAATCAAGACAGACAAGTGTTTTATCCATACTTTCCGAAATATTGTTTTCAATTGCTTTGATTTCAAGCAATTGCGACGAGTACCGAAAAATGGAAGTAATCTTACCCGCAAGCGCATTGAAAGTAATTTGAATAGAACGTCATCGATAGTTCGTGTCATGACGTCTAATGACGCTAGGCCAGGGGTCGGCAACCTGCGGCTCGCGAGCCACATGCGACTCTTTGGATGTGAAGCTGCGGCTCTTTAGTTCCATACGCAAATATTATTTATTTTATCAAAAAAAAATTTTTTTTAATCGTTCTGAATCGATTAACGAGGATTAGGCACTTGTACTCGCTTTTTACCGCACCCCTCCCCCGTGACACGCGTCGTCACTGTCGTCAGTCTGTCGGAAGCTCTCGAATGACGCCGTCGGATGTTTCTATTATCTAATTTGTTGTGAAAAACACTACTTATATATGAATAAATAGATTAGTTTTTTTTAATCAAAAAACTTTATTTATGCGAGTACTATTTATTGTTGGCAAGAAAAAATTTTGTGGCTCTTTAAAAACTTTGAAATTTTGTAAATTGTAATTTTGGCTCTTCCGACTCAAAAGGTTGCCGACCCCTGCGCTAGGCGATCACGGTAGTCTGAACTTCTTCTGAATCGGTAGCCAGTCGTTCATTGGTCGAGCCGTCGACTTTCTTTAACTCAGTATATGGAGTATATGGAGTTGACCGTTTGTGTCTCTCTAATATGTGGCCAGCTCTCGGTTGTCGAGTAGCTCGTTCGGCAACCGGGACAAATATGACATTCAAAATTTGTTCTTAAACCAAATTGTTCAAAACCCGAGGTTTGACTGTATAATTTAATCTGTAAAGCATTTTCATTTTTTAATTAAATTGTTAGTTATTTTAACATTACTATATAGAAATTTATTAAATTCATTTTCTGTATCATGACTGTATTTAAAATCAAAAGAATAAACATTCTTTTGTATTAATAAGCAAACATTGTTTGTAAAACTTTATATTTTACGCTTATGATTTAAATAAAATTCGATTCTAAAATAAAATTTGATGTATGCTTTTAGAAGTTACTATTAATTTGTTCGAAATGTTTAATTAGATACAATTTTTAAAAGATAGCTATGATACAGTAATAGTGTTCCTCGGTGTCCTGTGATAAAAGGTGCATGTGATAAAATGGAAACTGAGTACACAGAAGTAAAATGTATTTATTTATTTTTTCTTGTCAATGAGTAGTCTGTAAATGTTTCAAAATCCCATTAGAATTTCGAAATTTTGTTATCTAAAGAAATATAATATAAAATATATCAGTTTTAAAAATATTAGTCGAAAACTGATAAATATACCATAATTGTGACAATTAATCTTTATACTGGATCATCCACTACATTGAAATCGCTTCTTTCCGCCTACGTTCGTTAATTAATATTACCTTGAACTGTCAGATAAAACTTATCCCGAAGTTTAAAAAGCACCAGATTAAAATTGTATAATATTTATGCTAACTCCTTATTATGAGAGCAGTAGAAAACCATTTTTTGGTTAAAGACTATTCTAATTTTATAGAATTAAAAAGTATTTTTCATTATTTGCCTCTTATTAAAGTGGTCAAATAAAAATTTTGTATAACACATTGACAGTTGATAGTTACTACTATTTAATAGAGGTATAGAGGAGGTAAATACGCCTATGAAAAGAAATATAAATCCCCTCGATATTGAACATTTTTAACTTTTTGTTTATATAGCAAATCTCGAGTTATTTTCTGCATTTATTTATATAATTGGGTTGCAATTTGAAAAAAACTGTACTTATAAATTCCCATTCGATCTATCTGTCCGTCTTTCATACCTTAATTTCGAGAACGGTGTTTGATAAATGAAAGCCTAAACCAGATATGGAAACCTTGGGGGCAGGACACTCCGAGTTAATCAGGATGTCCTGCCCCCAATACGAACATCCAATGCAAACCGAAAGTCACATTATTTCAATTCAAAAATTTCCCCCGAAAGGAGTTAGAGAGATGACCGGCACGATTCAATCGCCTAAGGAAAAGTATAATGTACAAGGACAAGACACTACTAATTTGTAGATGGAGAGAATATATTTTAAATTAAATAAATTTAAAAATTGCAATAATAATAATTACATAAGCAAATTAATAATAAATTATTGTGACGATGTCACAATAATTTATTATTAATTTGCTTATGTAATTATTATTATTGACTTAATAAATAAAACTAGGATAGGGACATCTTGCGCCCTTATCGTATCTCGAGAGAATTGAAGCGGAGAGGGAAAGAAAAAAGCGATTCTTTCACTTGCCGCTACGAAAGAGGCGGCCCTTGCACCTGACCGTCGAGGAAAGGTGAACGTTACACTTACGCCTTGGAAAGGCAGCCGTTGCTATGGCCAGGAACGGACAGGCGATCCTTGCACGTGCCGCCACGAATCAGGTGGTCCTCGCACCAGCCGACCACGGGAGAAGCGATCCTTGCACTAGCCAGGATCGCTTCTCCCTTGCTCATCGTAATTAACGGAATATGGTAAAATTTTATCAAATACGGCCAATCAAATTTTGAGGGGAAAAAAACAAACAATTCTGTAAACTACATAGAAGAGGCTTTGCTAACTCTTCGGCTCAATAAAAAATATTAGTACTTTCGATCGATCGGCATTTATGATTGGAGTCATATCGATCATATCCTCGCTTGTCGTAGCTGTTTATAAATTGATATTTTCAGTTATCATACATTTGACAAAACGTCAATATTAATTAAGTTTAAATTTTAAAAAGTTAACAATATATTTTGCCATTTCAATATTTTGGAATTAGTTCAACAAAATATTGAACTTATAATCAGGCCTTAAAAATCCCTGGCTATTATTAGGTCAAATCTTGTTATATTTTTGACATCTCCGAAGATGTGAGGTCAGCATCTATCTTCGTGGATCTCAAAAGATCCACGAAGATAGATACTGTTACAAATTATCGATTTCGTTGCATTTGTTGTGTTTTATTAATACTCAAGAAGTTTATTTTTATTATATTTTGTTATTTAAAAGATAGTTTTAGTTTTGTTTTGTTTTTCAATAGACTGTAAGCCTTAATGGTCCCGATCCACTCGTCACTTGAAAGTACCTGTTTATATCTCACCAGTGGCCGAACGGATAAAACCACTGAAAGTCTTAGGTTTGCATCTTACCAACAGGCTGGCTATGTGAAATTTTTCAGATTTTCTTTACGTATGTAACTTCTATAGAGGGGACGGTTTTCATTACAAAGGGCAGATTACCTACGTGTTGCATTGCCATATCTTACCAAACTAAACCAGTCCGACCCTGTACATAATTTACAACTTTTTAATTCGAAAATGTAATTAATAAGTTTCACAACACGGGTTACGTTATTGTAATCATGACTTTTAGAATATATAATAGATTATATGGCAAAATATTTTCTCTATAGTTCGATGTACAGTACAAACAGGATTATGAAATAAATAATGTGATTACGAAGCAACTTTTCTCTCAACGCTAAATTATATTAAAATAGAATAATAAGTAATGATAATTAATTTTTTGTTATTCATATTCACAATTAATTTCAGAAATCATAAACACTAACATATAAAAAACATAATTATAAAATGACATGTGTTTATAATTCTCTAATTTCGATGTATCAAACTTCAGATTAATTTATAACAAAAATTATTAAATATAGAACATTTAAGAAACTTATCGCTGCTGGTATGTAACAAATGTTCTTATCTTTCTATTATATCCGTAGCCATAATTCTCAGCGATACATAAATATTGTTGTATTTGTTATCAGAACCAAACAAAGTGATAAAGTCCAGGCCAGACACAAATATGAGTCTCTATTCTCTCCAAAGATTATAGAAGTGTATATCTCGAGCGTACAAGAGTGTACTGTACATATAAACATATGAAAGATTAAACTTTGAGGCTCCTGTAAACCTGGGATTCGGGTCAAATGGCCTTGCTGACCTCCTAAATCTGGATTTGCTGTAATATAATACATGCACACTTGGTATGCGTATATGTATGTGTGTATTATATTACAGCTTAAATGTGTGTGGGTGGGTGAGGCTGTGTGTGAGGAAACTTTAGTCACATAATAATTTTAATTATTTTCTTTCTTATTAATTAAAATTTAAATATAATACTCATAATAAATTTTTGATAGTTTTAACGTGTTTGTTGATAAAATTACTGTAAGTAATTTTATCAACAAACCAAGTAGCTCTTACTAAATTTAATTCCTGATTATGCAAAATATACATGTACTGTACTTTATATTAGTAGCATATAATAATATACATTATATACAGTAAACGCTCTAACTGTAATAATTCTTATAAACGTTTAGCAATTATTAAGACTTGAATAAGCATTTCTAGATACGAAATCTTATCAGTAAATTAACAGATATGTTATTAATAACCATTTATAGTTAGTTTCAGCTTACTACTGTGCTATATTAATTAATTACTCGTTTAATTTATCAAAACATTCTAAAAAAGTAAATTAAACAACTGTTTTTAGATAACTTCAAGACGTATCGAGTTAATCTACGAATAAAAAGACCGCAAAAGCAAATTTTAGTAATCTAAAAGTTTAAAGAAATAGTTTAATAAAGTTTTGAAAGACTTCTTAAGATAAAAACTTTATCTAATCGTTGAGAAAAAGCCGTTACGTCTAGCGATCTGTCCTTGTAAAACAATTATAAAGCAAAAGGCACGTGATATGTTACGACTAAATTAACGCTTTTCTATTGGTCAGAATTACGTTGCGGTCGATTTAATAATATAATTTTAATGTTTAATGTTAAAAAAATTAAATGATTAATATAAATGATTCATCGGTTAATTTTTTTGGAAAATCAAGAGTGACGAAACAACAAGCATAAATATGGTTACCGTGACTACAGTTTTGTTGCAGCTGGCTTTCGTGACGTAACACATTCGTCACGTTTGTCTACGAAAAATACAAGTACAGTAGTTGTTGATTGTCGACTGCAAACACAGTCAGAAAGAAATATTCTCAGGTAATTATTCCGCTTTATCATTAAAAATAAATACGGATAATTAGAATTTATGATTGTAAAATGTAAGGTTTAAATGAAGTGCAAGAAACTTCTTGGCGAAACGAGTTGTGAATTATGCCGTTAACTAATTTATTTTATTGAGTTGTTATATGATTGTTTGACAGACTAACACTCGATTAAGTAAGCGGTTGGTTCGTCTATAACAGAAATTTATCCCGGAAACAACTAATTTTTGTCGTTTAAAATAAATTATATTCAGAGGAAGTAAATTCTGCACGCGATAAAAATGCATGTTCGTGATGCATCATCGCAAATATTTTCTGCTCGTTACGTCATTGAATGTAACATAAACGATACTGGATTGTTGTGTATAAATAACTCATATGAATTTCAAGATAGAGCCTATTTGAAGTTTTTAAAATATATATCAAACTTTTCGTTAACCTTAAGAATCGGTGATTTAAATTTATATATATTTTAAAAATATCCTTATAAGTTGTATATATTTAACTCGTACTACGAATCGTAAAAATACAAAGTAAAGTAATGCTGAGGAAGTTTAAAGTGTAATTTTATCAAAATATGTAATCGAATTCGTGTCTGTCTTCTGTCTGTCCGTTTCTATTTCAATGAAACTTTGTACATTACTTCAGGTTAGTCGTAGGAAGGATCCAGGCTACTTTCCAGTTATCTATTACAGTATCAAGTGAGAACGGCTGAATCTTTCTGAGGCTATAGAATATATTTAAAGTACTTTCCGCTCTGTGAACACAACGGGCCCGACATTTCCGGGACAAACCACCCCCGAAAAATTTCTGAGGTTTTTTTCAATCGGCCGGATTCGATTCTAGGTTCCTTAATTGCTTCTGTCGTCCCGCTCTCATTAGGAATATATTAGGCTAGTGAGTTTCTGAAGCAAAATATTCATTCACAGTAAAAAAAAAGGGGAAATCGTACAAGTTTTAGAGTAAAGATTTGATCTTTCGACTCTTTAAATCCTATCTTTAAAACTATAATATAACTTCTGAATGTAATTTTATAGTTTTAACAGAATTCTCGTCTAAATTAAATAAATATATATAGGCCTATATATATTTTTAAATAAAACAACGATATTTGTATAAAATGTCCTATATTAATATATATATAATGTCAAATCTTGTTATAT